ACAAGAGTCAGGTTTGAGGTTTTGGAGTTGCCACAAATACCAGAGGCAAGGCTACTGTTACTACAGAGATCACCACAAGTCCCCCTCCAGAAGCCGATTAGCCATTCTTTTCACAAACATTATTCAAGACTACCAACAAAGTTTACTTTCCTCTGTTTGTTATCTTTATGAAACCATGTCTTGACTTCTGGTCTCCTCTACAGCTTCAACGGCAACATTCACTAAGCGTTGCTGCTTGCCCCACCAGCGTGACACATTTTTAAGCTTTGTAGGTAAGGTTTGAGCAAACAAGTTCTAACAACAGAAAGCCAAGCACAATCTTCTAGAAGAAACTTGGCTACAAACCTCGCTTTGTACTTGCAGAATTTGTTTCTTGGCATCAGGAAGTTTGTCTTTTAAGTCTGCATACTCTTCTTCTTTCCTCTGCAAATCTTTTTTCAAATTCCGCACAAGGACAGAGCTCTCAGCAACAGCCTTTTTAAGCCTTATGTTAAAAATAAAGAGACAAAGAACATTACTGTACGCATCTCATGGAAACAGCATTTGTGGCTTAATCCAGGCCCTGCCTGCTGGTTTCTACTTGTAAATAGAATCTTAGATCTATCTAGACCAGTGACAAGATTTAAACAATTACTTTCAAATTTCAGCTTGCCTCTCATAATCAGATTCTGAAGCTACAAATACTTCAGATTCTGTTCTGAGGGATGTACAACAAAACCACCAGAAATCCCCAAGTTATTCTTTGCTTCCTTGCACGCTCCTGGTTTCCCTTTGAACTCAAGTAGCATACCAAAGCATCCTAAAGTAGTAGCTTGGCTACTGATAAACATGCAAAAGCATTAAGTCAAAGGGATGTTCACAAGAACGAGTTTTAACTCTAGCTCGTTCTCAAAGGGCTGTAAGTTATCTCAGGAGTTACTTACGATTCTATAGTTTGTATTTTCTCCTTTTCACTCCTTTCCTTTTCCCAAAGAGAGTGTTTCATCTGCTCCAAGCTGTTTTTCAGCTGCACAACTTCTTCCATCAGATTTGCTTTTTCATTATTTAGCTCTTCAACCTTTGTGTCTTCATTAGCAGACTTCTCCTGCAGAGCTGCCATAACTGTTTCTAGATTTACAATAATGGATTCCTTTTCCTTAAGTAACTCTTCGAGTTTTGTCACGCTGCCTTCCTTTGCTCTGAAAGCTTCCAGGAGACATTCAAGCTCTCTTATTTTTACCTCACAGTTGGCAACTTCCTCCTCAAAATGTGCAATTACTCTGTGATCTTCCGCAGCCTTTTTTTCAAAGTCCCAGGTTTTCTTTTCTATTTGCTCTTGTAACTGATTCATAAGATCTTCTTTCTGACTACCTGGATTTGTAACCTCGCTTAGCTTCATTTCAAGTCGATTATTACAATTCTCAGCATCTTTCAGTCCCTTCCTTAGGCTTTCAACATCTTGAAGCAGTGCTTCGATCCGCTGACTTTTTTGTGAGGAAACATCAATAATATGTTTGCATGCTTCCCAAATCCTTTCAAGACCGTGGTAAAAGGAGCGGTCCTGTGCAAGATCTGACATAGAAGAAGCCTGTGACTGAAGGCATGCAGAACTAATTTGAGATCTCTCTGGTTCATCTTCCTCAGAGCCTGAGGAATCCTCTACCTTGACTAAGTCAGTATCGATAGCGTAGGACTCTAAGTGACGTCTGTATAAGTCACCTAATTTGGTCTGCACTGCTTTTACTTGTGACACTTTATCAATTATGTTTTGTTTGGCAACTTCTATGATGTTATTTAGTTGAACATTTTTTTCTTCCAGCCCCATATTTACAGATCTCTGTTCATCCAGCTCAGAAGCAATTTCCCGATACTCAGCTTGACACTGCCGAAGTTGTTCACAGAGGTCAGCAGCTGTTTCTTCAGAAAAAGAGAGCTTAATACGCAGGCTTGTGACCTGCTTACTGAGACCTTCTTTTTTATTTTCTTCTCTCCTGCAATGCTCTTCAAGCACAGCTAAGTGACGTTCCGAGGTTTCAGATCTTTCCCTCAGTGCTAGTACTTCCATATGGTACGCAGAGCACTTCTGCTTCATGTATTCCATTCTCTTTTGCTCTAGAGTGCTCTTTTTCTTTCTCTCCTTCACAACAACTGGAAAAAAAACACCACACAAAGAAAAGGAATGCAGCTCACGTTGATGAAAATCAATATTCGGTAGTAGTTCACAATACCAAGTATCAACTACTAAATGAAAAACTGTCTTAACATGAAAGCCATACCCTCACATCTCGTGGTATTTGAAAGTACAAATGGAGTTAAAGCCCTCTGAACTCGTAATCACGTGCCTCAGACTTCTAGACATAGTTTGCAGCAAAAAGCTTTCAGTCCGCAAGAACGCTTTTACCGTGGCACTACTCCAACCTTCCACTGCACACTAGTAGAACATGTGGTTAGTTTTAAGAAACATGGGAATGAAATAGATAATTCAGCTATATTGCTTCCACCTTCCCTGCTTCAGCAATCCCTATAACACAGATATATCTAAGAGGTATTAGACAGTTCTCTGAGAAGTTTCATTTAAGCTCATGGTGCTCTTACTTTACAAAGATAAAATCCGGGAAAAGTTGATCACTTCAGTGTGGGTATCTGCTGCCTCCTTTTTTTCAGTTGGTCTCTAAACAACTTATGAGGATTCCTACTTCTGTCCACACCTACTATTTTGCATAGAAAGCTTGCTCAGAAGAAGGTACACATTTGCAGACTCAAGTTTCCATAAACATTGCATTAGCTTGGGGCTGGTTTTTCCTTAACTAGTGAGCACTAACTAAAATTACATGCATTTTCTTCCTATCAGAAGTGACTCCTGCTGTACTTCTTCCTTGCTTTAGAATCCAGCTACGTCCATTAAGTAATATGCATACTTTGCTTCAGCATTGAAAAAATAAGTCAAGACTTAAATGACTAGGGATTGTGACAGCACAATATATTCCACAGAAATTTTGTAGAGTCCTGTTATTACTACAACCACAGAAAAGCAGAACTTTGTAGCATCCACACACAGCCAGCATTACACACAGATACACGTGGATTGCCTGGAAATGGCCTCTTAACCGATCCAACAAGTTCCATAGACGGCCCCCAAGTGATTTAGAAGTCGTTCTGAAGCAACAGCAGTGGCATCTTCAATCCCAAACCAGGTTTTGGGTTTCAATTGCTCCCAGCACCTCTAGCAAAGGCGAGTAAAATCCTCCATTGGAAGACTTAGAAGTAATCTAAATGCTTTGTGCTGAAATGTACAAGCAAACACTAAAGCAAGAGAAGTAAGACTGCAAGAAGGTATGTGATGTTTAGTCTAGAAGCTCCTTATGCACCAAGTAAGGAAAAAGCATGATCCCAAAACGTGGGAAACGGGACCTAAAGCTCAGTGAATGGTGTAAATACCCTGAACTTCAAACCAAGATAACCTATCGCCTCTAATGAAATTTTGCTCACGCTACTAGGATAACTAAATTCTATTAGAGAATCAGCACAACACACCTGTGCTCATTGTTACATTGTGTATATTTAATATAGTGAAAGAAAATATATTAAACAGTAATTGGACACTTATAATACAAATTAAAAAAAAACAACATTCAACATGATTGAATAGTCAGTATTTCTTCACAGAAAACTCAAGGCTGACCTTGTGAGTATCAGTTATCCATTTTAATTCCTAGCTGGAAGAGTACTACCATTAACTTTTTAAATGAGAGCTTCAGTCATATGATTATAACAAGCCTACTACAATTTGAAGTACGACAAAGTCCACATCAGTTGTATTTCCCTTCCTCTGTCTCTGGTAATACAAACATACGTGATACCATTCAGTGGTCACATTATTTGGCATGAATACTGGATCCTAAAGATGGCAGAGGGAAATCATCCAAGAGAAGCGTTCTCATACAAACAAGGCATTGCTTTCCTCTCTTGCACATATTTCACAAGAGAAAGGCAAGAAAGGAAGGGACTACAGCTAAGCCGTGGATGAGGAAAAAGCAGCAAAAAGGAAATAAATAGTGCAAAAAGCTTTTATTTTAAGCATTCAAAAATGAACAGCATAGGACCTTCTGCAAAAGGGATATTTACATTACAGTTACTTCTATTGACAGAATAACACGGGATTTTCTCCTCATACCATAAGGTTGCGCTTCACAACCTTTTGCTTCCATTCCAGAATAGGAATCAATTTGGTTTTTTGGAAGACCCCTGGTTCAGCGATGGAAGAAACTGTACCTTTCTTTGGAGGTGGCTCTTCCACAGGAGGCTTATCTTCAAAACAGCGCTTTCTGCCCACTTCCAACTCACTTTCCTCATGTCCCTTGAATCGGCTGCTTTCACTAGCTTTATTAGAGTTCTCATTTGCCAGCTTTGTTTTAAAAGTAGTTATAGTCTTTTCCTGTATTGATATAAGACCAGTTACATTGAAGCTGAACAAAAGGACCACTTAACGCACAGTAATCTTCTGTAGGCAAACATTTTCACAAAACTACACAGCTGCAACGTTTATCCCGTGACCCTAAAGATGTCAGTTACAAATCCCAGCAACAGCAAGAACAGGTACACCTTCAGATAAGGACGAGCACAATACTCGGTGCAGTATACAAGGGAGAGCAAGAGCCTAGCAGGTTACAAAGCAAAAGACTTGCACACAATCAAGAGGAGTTTACCAGAGTGACAGAATTAACTATAAATGCTTTCAGAGCTACTTCAGGCTACCACACATCAAGGTAGAAAATGAAGAAAAGCCACCAGAAGTGGTATGCACACACACTTCTAGCCAAGCTACTCTTCACATACTCAGTAGCTTGCAGTACATTAGTCAGGAGAGTTCTATTAACTGCATAGAATGTAGAGGTATCCTGGCCATCCACTCATACTTCAAACTCCGCTCAATATACTCCTACTGCTGCTCTTCCTTTGATGTAGGAGCGTGAGGTAGCAGTTGGTGGAACACACTGATATTTTTGTTGCTTGTGTTAACAACAACTATCTTCAGATTAACCTGAATTGTTTACAATTTCAAACAGTACCAGCTTCATACAGAAAATCACTTTTACAGAAGTGAATGCATTACAAGCATAGGGTTTGGGATGGGTTGTTTCGGTGTAAAGATAGTGAGATGGGCAAAACTCACATAGTCCTTCACTTTTTCTTCTAAATGAGATCTCAAGTCTTCTAGCTTTGTAATAATGGCATCTTTCTGCACCACGATGTCTGTTAGCGCTTGAATCCTTTCGTTTTGCACATTCATTCTCTTGGAAATAAAAACAAAAACAATAGTTCAGTCATCAGCTTCTAATGCAGTGTTAAGTAGCCGAATTGCACAATGCATTTTAAACGCAAGTTCAGTTTCGCTAAACTTGGTGAGAAAGCTACTCCTGGAGCCTACTGGAACAGCATTTTAAGCTACCACAACTTGGTTTTAAACAAATAATCCTGCACAGGATTTTCTTGATAAAGTTACCTCGGTTGCTTCTTTCAGTTGCTCAACAGACTCATCCAATTGAATCACCTGC